ATGATTGGGAGGATCGTAATATCTACATTATATTATGACGTATAAATCTTAGTTCGCGTTTTAACMGATTAAATATAATATATATATACTGCTTACCGCATACAAAAATATTTAAAATGTATTATTGAAATTAATATTGGTTATTGCGCGACAAATAAGATAGGTATGTCAGCTGCRATCGTCGTGATACCGATACGCATACTTTAGTTTAAATGGCGTCCGGCTTTCGCCTATCATCACAATTAAAGAGATATCACGATATCAYAGTATAACATTTAGAATGCAAATAATGATAACAATTTCAAGTGGCAATAGGCGAAAACCGGCGGACATGTTTGCGTGAACTCTGTTGTCAATTAGAATATTGCTGATATACATATCTCATTTGTCATGGATTTTTGTACGTTTTACAGACAGATACTTTAACAGTGTAGTCCACCAGACGGACGGCATGGATAGGATGGACACAAGCGAATCTCAACACATCCAATCGTCGAATTCAGGTGGTCGGAACACCCCAAACTCGGTTGACGGACAACAAGACAACATAAGCAAATCGCAGACGTAGCCAATACATTTTTGGAATTCAAATATTCGTATTACATAATTTAGGCAATTCATTCTAGTTAATTAAATTATCATTATTATTATTATTATTATTATTATTTTAATTATTAATATTATTACTATTATTATGAACATTTCATACGTGTAAAATAAATATATTTTATTACAATTTAAATAAATTTAAATCAAAACAAAACCGAATTATCAACTTTATTGTTAATCTACTTAGTAAATAAGGATAATTTATAAAATAAAGTGTATTGCTTAATTGTTTTTATAAGTCACGAACACAGTCATATTAAATCCATTGTTTTTTAACTAGGCTATATGAAGTTTATTTTATTTCGACAGTTATAAACTCGTCTAATATATCTATACCAAAATAGTAGGTATACTCGTGGGTTAAAAATTTAGAAATGTATATGAATATTGTAATTGCTTGGAGTTAAAGTATAATTTTTGTCATTAATATGGATAATAAGGTGCCAGATAAAATGGTTTAAATCTTTTATTTTTTATTTAAAAAATTAATATTGACAAAAAAACTTAAACTTCTAACACAATGTATTTACAGCGCATTGATATACTTGATATATCTCACTAACGTAARTTYAACATACCAAATATGGACGTAACGTAATGTTTTTATATCTAAAAAAACAAAATATTTGCGATCAAAATGTATTTGATATTGTTGACTTACATTATTATAGCACGAGATATTCAATAGGCTTGTAGATCCTATACGTCGGCTACAGGTCTGTAAATTATGTTTTATTATCAATCATGTTGTATTACCCACATAGCAATTGTCAATCTATACTATTGTATAAATATTTGAAATTCATTGGATTTTAAATATTTTAAATTAAAGATTTAAACAAAATTGTATGTAAATTGTAATTCTTTATATTTTACTCAAAGTAATTTGATAATGGTT